TGAAATTATTAAATTATTAAATAAAACCTTTCCATTTTTATTATATACTCTATTTTTGACCCAGTGCCATCATCATTTGTTTCCTGCCTTCTCTATGCAATGCAGGCAGATAATGGCTGGTGGGAGGAGCCTGCAGGGCGCCGTACATAGCTTCCTGAAAACAGGAAGCTGAGGTAATGCCCATATATGGTACTGAACCTCCGTGATCGAAAGAACTGCAATCCAATCTTTTGCCGCTACCTCTTATCAATCCTTTAACTGGGTATTAAGGATGGGAGGCAGCGTCCTGATCATGGGACCTCTGTGCCTGGCTGTCACAGCAGTCTGAGTGATAATTCCCTCTCGCACCGTACCAATGTAGCCCAGAATTCAACGGGTGCTGGACCAACTGGTGGATGGCAGTGTACGGTTTATAGGATATGTTGTCTGCACCCCATTCTGTTTCAGGATATCATCTGCCTGGTATTCCTTTAGCACAACATGTAAATGCAATGTTTTGGAACCTCGCAGGGTCCCTTCGTCAAGCAAAGTGTCTTTTGGCTGTCACAGGATCCGGAGTCTGTCCCTCCAGTCTGTGCACAGCTCATTGTGCTGGAAGCATGCAGTGAGCGCACTCTCAACACTAAGGCCTGATTCACACCTGGGCGTTTTACAGCGCGTTCCTACACGCTGTAAAACGCTCAACATGTGAAAACCAATGATTGCCTATGGGCATGGTTCCCACCTGGGCGTTTTACAGCTTGTAGCAACGCGCTGCAAAACGCCCTACGCCCAAAGAAGTAAATGAGCTTCTTTGGGGCGTTTTGCCGCACGTATCCATTGGTATTCCCGAGTGTGGATCGGGGTCAACAAAGCTGTAACCCTGAGCCACACTCTGGAATACAGCGTACAGGTCTTACCTTGTTCGCGATCCCCGATGTGTCTTCGGCGGCTGCCGACTTTCCGTCCCTTTCCGTCCCTTGGGAGTGGCCGCTTTGCAGGGGGGCGGAGCCGGCGGGAAGTTTAAAAGTGAAACTGAAAAATAAAATAAAAAATAGAGAAAATAAAGGAAAAAAAAATCATACCGCCAGTGAAACGCGCGTTTCACTGAACGAAAAAACGCAAAAAAAAAAAAACGAGCTGAAAAGCGAGCATAAAAAACCCGCTCAGGTGTGAACCCAGCCTAAAGTGGAGCGCCATGGACTGGTATAGGCAGAAGCCCAGTGTTAAGTCCAACCCACCATGCTCAAAGAGGACTCACCGCTCTATTCCAACCTCTTGGCTGCAGTAAATTCACACTCTGGGTGCAGACTGTAGTGTGCCGCTCACTTCCCAAATCAATCCCCAAAAGATCAGCCGCACAAAGACCAGGGTAAGTGTTGTCCAAGATTTATTAAAACAACTCCAAGCAAATTCCAAAAAGACAGATCCAAAAGAGTAATGATCAGCATGTACATCACCATGAGGGGTCTCCCACGCCAACTTACTCACGCGTTTCACCCCAAGATCATCAGCCCACCATGCCGCTTGCACATATGCGTTACGTCAGTTCAAAGAAGTCAAAGTAAATACCCGGTGATCCCGCCACAAGGGTCCTCGTTCAGGCACTGCCTGTTGTGGGGTTGCAAAGCTTACCCTGTCACTTGGGTTTCCAGTGGAGACTCCAAGTGGTTGTGTGAACGCACATTACGCAGACATGGCCCGCTGAGGTCACCATCAGGAAACTCCAACCCCCACCTCTTGAGAAATGCCATGCAGCCATTGCTGGAGTGCATGTAGACGGGGAATGGAGGGGACAGGCTGCAGGGAGCTCTGCGACAGCCATTCAGCTCTGAGGTTCAGGTGCATATAACTTTATTTTCCTCCCTAGACCAAAGCGAGCGCTTAACCCTTGCTGTATGGAACTAGCCCCACGGCAAGGGTTAATCAAACATTTCCCCGGGGTTGTGCTTTAAATCTGTCTATCAGAATGCCTGCTTGTTTCAGAACAGCGACCCGATATTGAAGCCAGAGGTCCAGCATGTCGTCCAGCATTTTGAGGAGGTCGGCTGTCTCCGGACCCTCATTTCTCAGGCGGAACTTTGTTCAAATGCAATATAATTAGTTCTGAGTTAGAATTCTACAATTTTTACAGGTGTACGTACGGCATTAGAAGAATCTTTAACATAAAGCGGTTCATTAATTTTTACTGACTTCATAAATGTGGGTTTTACAGCCCCATGTGAGGACCAAACTGATATTTCCTAGTCCCCTTCTCCTCTCCACAGTGCCTTTCCGCTGATTATTGTATGATCGTGTGCATGGCAATACAGATGAC